TTTTTTTTTTTTGTTTGCGCTATATTTATCTCTTTTTATACAGTTTGTTCTTGGGATTTTTGTATGGGTCTGGGCTTTTCATGGGAAATTATTAATTTATAGAGTTTCTCTGTTTTGGATGTTCTGTTGTGCTTTTTGTTCTCATAATAATGGTTTGATAAATCTTGTCCTGAAAGTTCAGTTGCACAATTGATCAATTTCAGTGAGTTTACAACATCCTATGGCTTTTTGCATTTTGTATGCACTGGTTTACTTGTGTGTTAAAATGAGTGAGTTGGGACTACAGATTGTCAAGTGCTGTCTGATCAGTAAAAAAACTGGCATGGTGATAAACAGTTGATTCAAATTTCTTCAGACAAGCGATTTCGAATCGATTCCGGTGAGGCTCAACGTCCTCGCATTTAGTCCCGAAAATAAAATTTTCAGTATTTATTTTGTGTTAGTGCAAGTGGTATAAACTAGGCTACAAGGGAAGAAGAGGGAGTTCAAAAGAATGTATTGAAAAGCTTTTCTAGTTGTTTTGGTGGTTTCGGTTTTTCCGGAGGAATGAGAAAACTGGAAGTTTCTACTTTGATCCAAGGAATTGAATCTTGAATTGAGATAGATAATAAAGAAAGATGGGTTCATTCCCGGGGCACGTGCTACCAGGGACGTTATTCCTTGTTGTGGGTGTATGGCACATGTGGTGCTCCATATCGAGGTATTTATCGAGCCCCGAGTCATTTGAGGTCAGAGTGTGGAACCCGGTTTCGGGATATAATGGCCGTCTCAAGTACTTGGAGCTATATGTCATTGCAATTGGAGGCTTTGTTGACCTCTTCATAGAGCTTCTCTTTGCAACCGGTTTCAAGATTTTTGTCCACGGGGTTTTGAACCCTTCTTATATGAACAACTTTGAGCACTCTGGAATGCTTCTCATGTTCTCCATATTCGGTGGAGTTGTCTTGCTTTCTGAGAAAACAAGGTTAGCTCATCCTTACTGCAATTCTGCTTTTGCAATTTCAAATTAACTTAACATATTTTGCTTTCGTCAGGCTCCTCCCATTGCCAAAAGAAGCCCTGTGCATAATAGCATCAGCAGCATTCACGGCCGAGTACCTTTTATTCTATTTCCACTCGACTACTCACAAGGGCCTTGAGGGGCACTACCACCTAATACTCGTCCTCCTTATCGGCCTCTGTATAGTATCAACTGTAGCAAGTGCCTTAATGCCGACGAGCTTCTCGGCTGACTTATCAAGTGGCATTGCCATAACTCTCCAAGGCTTGTGGTTCTATCAGACGGCGTTCACACTATACGGCCCATTCATGCCCGACGGTTGTGTGCTCGAGGCCGACCATATCAGTTGCCGGTCGAGTGAGCACGAGGTGCGAGGTGAGTTGCTGGCTAATTTTCAGCTTTTCGTGCACGTTTTGTGCGTTCTTGGTGGGGCCGCAGGGGCATGTGTGTATGTGGGGCCTAGGTTCCGGCCAGTCGACTCCTATATTCTAGTTGTCTTATTGTTCATGTAACTCTCAGTATATGTTTCTTCTTTTCTTGTATTTGTGAATTATTCTATTGAACAATCTCAAATACAATCAACTCATTCATAGTTTAGTTTACTTAATTTTGATTTCAATTGTTTTATCGTGTTAATTGCGGTTCGCAGCAATTTTTCTGAAATTTTGGTTATTGTTTTGGTATTTAGGTAACAACTTTTGTCCCTTTTTGGTGAATATTTTATATCTCGTTTTCGTTTTAGGCTCTACACTGGATCCCTTTTGGTTGGATTTTGAATTTGATTTTTTAAATTTGGTTGTGAGGTTATTCATTATGGCTCTCGATCCTTTTTTTGGTTGGATTTTTTTGAATCCGTTGTTTAAAATTTGGTTGTGAGATTATTCATTATGTCATGTGAAAACGAGAACTCTTAGCAATATATTAAGGCTTTGTTGGCATGTTGATCTTCATTTCATATCATTCCAGCTGTTGTTCATGCTTCATGTTTTCCTCTATCTTGTTTGTTTGAGTTTGTTACGAATTGAGTTTTTATTTTTGGTTGCGTTTCTGTTACTGGAATCGCACTTCTCTCTGAAAGAGTCGTACTAGTTTTCTTTTATTTGTTCAGTGCGTTTATTTTCGCTACGTGGCATTTTGTGATTGGCCTCTATGGCCATGTAGAATTTGCGTGTACAACAGACGCACGTGTTCGTCTTTTTCGTTTACGAACATTTGTAGACTTTGGAATACAGAGTGAAAATTCCCAAAATTCTCTCTACACATTTCATGATTTTCTTAGATTTACTTGGTATCAAGAGCAGGTTGAATGGCGCGTCACGACGATTGAGGGAAAGACTGCAATTACTAAGCATGTGTATACACGGGATTCGTATCCGCTTATGCTTCACGGAAGGGATCATTCTGGGACGGTACTGTTAGTGAGCAATCAACTCACTGGTTCAAACTATCTACACTGGAGTCGGGCGATGAGGCTAGCACTTGGAGCTAAATCGAAACTCGGTATTGTTTATGGAACTATAGAAATTCCATATTCGAGCTCGAGGAGTTTAATAAAATATAATAATTTGTATGTTTAATTGAAAAAATAAAATAAAATACTATATACTTATAATTATTTTATTAATTCTCTATAATTATTATTTATTTATTTATAATTATTGTACATTTTTTCATGTATAAAAATCAAAATTCTGTTTTATTGTGTTTTGAAAATAAAAATAAAAAATATAAAAGAATCATATGGGCGCCTGCAACGCCTAGGTCCTCTAATCAGTTTAGGCATGACTTATTTTGCAACCACCTATGTAGAGCCTAATTACCGAGCGCCTAGAAGGTCCGCCTAGATGAAAATGGGGGCGCCCGAGTGTCGCCTAGCACGACTTTGGTATAGTGATCAGGACACATGCCAATTGCTTTTGATGATGCGACGGGTTGGCGGTTGCTTTCCCAGTTCTTATTCTACATGAGGTGGTCATTTTTCTTATTCATGTTCGCATTGGATCGACACATGTGCAACATCGAGCACACACGAGCAGAACGATACAATTTCTCGTATGGGTTTATAGCCCATTGGTTCTAGGGGGGATTCAATTAAATTTTTAAAGATTTTTTAAGACTTTAAATTAGGTAACTTTGGTGGACTTTGTAAACTTTCATGACATTGATGGACATTTTGAGACTTTAAGAGAATTCTTATTTGAGACTTTTATCTAGACTTTACGAGACTTATTAAGATTTTTATATACTTTGTAGTTATAGTTATTATATTTGCATGAAATACTCGTTGCATAACAACTAATATCAATAAAATCAAACTAGATTAAAAAAAATATTAAACCAAATGAGTTATGATATTAAACATTAGCAATTCAACAAGAATAAAGAAAAAAAAAAAAAAAAAGATTTTGTAGATTAATCACAAAAAATTATCAAATCTAGAATTGTTATTTGAACTAAGCTTATTAATGAACAACTTGTTTTTTAGGTTTATTAAATGAGCAAACTGATTTCAACTTTCACGAGCTTCAGCGAGTCGAACTCGAGCATGACCATATGTTGTTTGTTAAACGAGCATAAGATCAAACATGTGTTACTCATCTCTTCAATGACACTTATTATTAACCCAATAAAGATATAATTATTTAATTATTAATTCTTTATTTCCATCATGTTGCAATTTTAGAAAAATATTATTATGATATATTTTTACGAGACACAAACATTATAAGAAAACACAATAATTGTATCTTTTAGAGTTATCAATATACTCATAATAATTTTATATAAACAAATAAACTCTTATCAAATAAAATAAATATTTTAATATTTTAAAAGAGAAATTTACAAAATAAAAAAGAGAGAACAAATAGATTATTGGCATGTGCAAATTATACAAGTATTTAAACTTTGAAAAGTCAAACTCAAAAGCAAGCAAATTGGAGAATAAAAGTATATTAAAAACCAAATCAAAGTATATAAAAAAAAAGCCGAATTGATCTAAACCAATCGTTCACTGCTGGCTCGGGCTTTCTCGTTTGCTGGGGAAGGCTATTAGATTTATTTAGTTTTTGTATTTTTGTGTTCTTGTTTTAGTTTTCATTTTGTGTTGTGCGTGTTCTGTGTCTTTGGTTTGGGCCGTTGTCCTCTGTGATCCCGAGTGTCAAACTTACACCCGAGTGTCACCTTATTACCCTGTTGTGGTCCGACACTCGGGTAGTTGTTTTAGTTGTTTTAGTTATTTGTGTTGTTGGTTAGTTTAGTTGCGAGTGTTTTTTATTCTAGCGTTGCTAGTCGGGATTCTAGGCGGTCTTCTGACCTCTCCTCCCACTTTTTCAGCTGTTGGCTGCTGTGTATTCAGCCGTTGGCTGCTGTGTATTCGTACATTTGTGTCTTTTGATTTATAATATTCTCTATCGTTTTTAAAAAAAAAAAAAAAATCTAAAATTGTGTTTATGCTCTATACATATCTCAATGCCTTTTTTATGCACTCCACACTAAAGAATTCACAATACCTTTCCCTTAAATAAAACCCTAGGCTTAGTGGAGTACATTAGTCTTTATAACAACAGCCCAAATGCCCCCAACATTGCACTTGGCCTTGCCCTAAACAAACAAGAGATATTTTTCATTTTCCTTTTTAAAGAAAATAAATATACCCCCCCCCC